CCTGAGTCAGAGGGAAGGTATGAAAGACACAAAGAGTGATTTAAAGCACATACAAGAATTCACATGGCGGACACTATCCTGTCTCCTTCTGATCTACTCAAGGTTTCACAGTTCTCCTTGGGCTTCCCATTCCATTTCTTCACTTGATCTTCACAACAACCATGAGGGAAGAGAAGCAAGAATTACTTTTTCCACTTGATAGTTGGGGGAACAAACCTGTGGAATTGATGGGTCATTCATACCTATCACGCAATAACTGTAGGGCAGAGCCAGGACTCCAAGTCCTAGGTCAGCTTGGTCCTCTCAGACCCGGATGCTTCCCTTGACCAGCACCAGACACAATAGCCCCTGCAATGGGCCTCACATAGAGGCAGTGAAAGGCCCTCTGCCGCTCTTCTCTTCCCACAGGTCTCCAGGGGTTGCTTGGCAACCAGCACCCAGCAGTAAGTGGCCTCTAGTCAGGTTTGTTGCTGTGGAGCTTCCAAGTCTCTCTCCCTTCACACCTGTTCCTGCTCTCATTCGCTATTAATAAGACTTCTCTCCCCAGTATAATTCTCTCCTCTGATCCACAATAATTAACCTCCCAGGATACACAGGGGGCTCTCAGGACCCTATGTGGGGAGGGACCCCAGAGAACCAGGCACTACCAATGGCTTCATCATCCAATATCCCCCAGATAGGATAGAAACTCCTTTTGTGAATGGTCCTGCTCAACGACGCTCATACCTCCTCTTTGTCCCTCTCCACCTTCCACCCTGACAATGGCTTTCTGAAATCCCCTGGGTGAGATCAAATGGGCTGGAGAAATTTAAAGGAATGCTTCATGCTGTGCTAGTGAGTCCCTGAATACTGTTCCAGCACTCCTAGAACCACGTACGGAAACCTTGGGAGGGGCCCGGTCACTCTTTGCATGTGGATCAAGAGCAGAGAAAGAAAGGGACCTAAATTTTATTGTGCTCCTAATACTGTTACCATATCTAGATCCCCCAACAAGCCGGTCAGGCTTTTACCGCTGAAGATGTTATCTAGTCACAGAAGTGAAGTAACTTACCAAAGCTCACACTGCTTAAAAAAAATTATAGAAATTTTGCTTACGAAAGTAAATATATATGAGTAGAGATGTATTTCTTCCTCTCCCTATACAATAAATTAATCATCAAATTCCGTAAATTCTAGTCCTAAATCTCTATCCTCATTTCCAACTCTTATGTCATTTTTATCTTAGTGTTATGTACCAAATGTTTATATCCTCCCAAAATTCACATATTAAAGCCCTGACCCTCAGTGTGGCTATATTTGGAGATAGGTACTCTAAGGAAGTAATTAAGGTTAATTGAGGTCATAAAATTAGGGCCCTGATCTAATAGGATTAGTGTCCTTATAAGAAGAGCTCCCTCATTCTCTCCATGTGTACACACCAAGGAAAGGCCACGTGAGCACACAGCAAGAAGGCAGCTGTCCTCTTGCCAGACATCAGCCCTGCTGGCACCGTGGTGTTGGACTTCCAGTCTCCAGAACTGTGAGAAAACTAATTTCTGTTGTTTAAGCCATCTAGTCTGTGTTGTTTTGTTATGGCAGCCCAATGAAGCTAATAGACTTAGCTCAAACCCTTATAACTTGACCAAACTACTAGTTTCTTTGCTTCCCTCCCATCTACCCTCCAAACTGAAACCAGAGATTTTTCTAAAATGCAAATCTAACCTTGTTAAAACCCATCTATGGCTTTCCAATGCCTATGGTAATTGTCTCCAAATTTATACCCCTATTAAGTAAGAAAAATGTAGGCATAGCACCCACAATATTTGTGTATTTACTTAAATTGCATATATATACTTCTACTGTACACAAAAGATGTTAAAATACATACAGTGACATAAATACTATTTAAATGTTTAAATTTTAGTGTATTTATGAACAGTTCAGAAAACTTTTTTACAGAAAAGCACATATGCATACACACACCAAGAAAACCCTTTCCTCATTTCTCTATTAGCAAAAGCAATGTGATTGACTATGTCAAATCTAATTAGATCATCACTGATTTTACCTCAAAACATGGCTGACAATGAACTTGTGCTAGGAGTCAGAGAAATATCACTTCAGCCATTTTCTGTGCTCATGTGGGCTCACTATAATTAGTGCAGTCTTCAGCCAGAGGTTTCTTTGCAGGACTGTTTTAAGCCACATATCCATTGTGGGTTCATTTAGTTAAAATTAGGTAGTATAATCAATAAATCCACTTAACCAGGCACAGGAAAACGGCAAAAACTCGAGATGGACTAAAAATGAATGAAGAGTGAGGGAGCCACCACTGCCAACCCCTTAGAAGGGCAGAATGACTATTGCTACCTAAAGATTTTTTGAATGTAGAATATGTAACCATCTAAAGTGGAGATCAAATGAAGACATTTTGTCAATATATATAGAAAATGTTAGTCTACATTTACTTTCTCTTCATAGACAAAGTAAACTAACAGTTTCTTCAGCTCCCTAAGGAGTCATCAAGCATTTACCCTCTGACCCATGGCAAGAACCTTCTGTTTGTTGTGCCATCTGATAGCCTCTCCAGAAAAGTTAACTCGACACCCCATCCCTGCTCTTTCAGAGCCTTGCTGTAGTTAAACTGTCTTGCTCACCATGCCCCAAATATCCTGTGTTCTCACACACCCCACCCTGCTGTGTGTTGGCTGCAAAGAAAATGTCAGATAACATAAGCAGAAGCACTTGGCACATAATAGGTACTTAATAAATGCTTATTGATTCTCACCATGAGGTAAATTAGATCAGTGGTTCTTCAATTTTAGCCTGCCTCAAAAACCACCTGGAAGGCTTGTTATAACACAGACTAGAGGTACGGTGCACGAAATTCATGCACCGGAGAGAGGGTCCCTCAGCCCGGCATGCACCCTCTCGCAGTCCAGGACCCCTCGGGGGATGTCCACCTAAGCCAGCAGTCGGACATCCCTCTCGCAGTCCGGGACCCCTCGCTCCTTACCGCCCGCCTGCTCACTGCTCCTTAGCACTGCTGTGGAGGCAGGAGAGGCTCCCACCACCGCAGCTGTGCTTGCCAGCCCTGAGCCCAGCTTCTGGCTGAGCAGCGCTCCCCCTGTGGGAGCGCACTGACCACCAGGGGGCAGATCCTGCATTGAGTGTCTGTCCCCTGGTGGTCAGTGCGCACCATAACTATCGGTCGTTCTGGCCGTTCCGCTATAACGGTCGCTTAGGCTTTTATTATATAGATTATTGGGCCATACCCCAGAGTTTCAGATTCAGTGGATTGAAAGAGGGGCCCGAAAATTTGCATTTCTAACAAATTCCCAGATGATGCTGACGCTGCTGATCCAGAGACCCCACTTCTAAAACCAATTAACTAAATGGTCTGTAGAGCCTCTGACATTTCCAATGATTTATGATTCTTCAACGCTTTTAATAGAGACAAAATGAACAAAATAAACTTTTATCTAAAATATAGGTTCTATAAGGTCTAATGTGCTTCTCAACAGTATAGAGAAAAGAGCACATAATTTAGATTCAGAAGATCTAAGCTGGAATCCCACTTTATAGCTGTGTGGTCAAACTAAAGCAAGCTAATATTCTCTGAAACTGAATATTTTTCCTTCTATAAAATAGGAGTATATTAAAATAATACCTGCCTCTTGGGGTTAATTATAAGGTAATATTAATATATTGAAATAATTTATAAAAAGAAAAGTACTGTATATGGACTATACCAATAAGATATATGTACTATGTATTAATGTACATTTAACAAATTGAATAATGAATAATACATTTTGAATACTTAAAATCAAAAATGTTCAAAATTTCTAATCTCAATGCTAATTCATTATTGAAAAGTATATGATCTACATGTTGCTATATCATCTCAACAATATATATATATTTTTTTTTATTAGTACCACTGGTAAGCACCAATAATAGTAGCTGTGATGGCCAGCTAACAAGACGGCCCCCCATGATCCTCATCTCCCAGGATTCATTGTATAGTTTCCTTCTACGTTGAATCAGTGACCAATAGAATACTTTAAGGCTGAGCAATAAGAGACATTGCCACTTCCCCTTTGAACTCTTGGATCTTTCCAAGAGCTGGGGGAAGCCAGCTGCCATGCCATGAAGAGACTTAAGCAGCTCTGTGGAGAGAGCCACCTGGGAATGAACTAAGGCAGCGGTTCTCAACCTGGGGGTCGCGACCCCTTTGGGGGTCGAACGACCCTTTCACAGGGGTCGCCTAAGACCATCGGAAAACACATATATAATTACATATTGTTTTTGTGATTAATCACTATGCTTTAATTACGTTCAATTTGTAACAATGAAATTGGGGGTCACCACAACATGAGGAACTGTATTAAAGGGTTGAGACATTAGGAAGGTTGAGAACCACTGAACTAAGGCCTTCTAACAGGCCAGTACCACACATGTGAGTGAGCCACCTTTGAAAGGGATCCTCCAGCCCCACTCAAGTCTTCTGATGATTGCAACCCAAGCTGACATCTGGCCGCAAGCTCATAAGAGGCTACAAGCCAGAAACTCTTAAATGTTCAAGTCACAAAAACTGTGCGGTAATGAATTATTATTGCTGTTTTAAGCCATCAGGTTTTGAAGTGATTTGTTATGCAGTGATAGATTATGAATACAATAGCTAACATTTATTGTGCATTAACTATGTTCTAGGAACTATATAAGCACCCATAGCCCTATGATGTAGATGCTAGCTCCAAAGCCTAGATTCTGTCACTATTCATACAGGCCAGAATAAAGCCTCTTAGGATAGTTAAGCAGCAGAAGCAACGGAGCCTCCAGAGGAGAGAAAACTTGTATAAAACCAGCAAGGGGCACTCCAGGGGCAAGACCAGCAACGACATTAGTGTCTGATGCTGTAAGACCCAGAAGTTCCAAACCGGCCCCACCCCCTAACCCTGGTACTAGCAGACTAGTCCCCTGTCAGGCCAATCCTGCCCAAGATGCCTGGGACTCACCCAGATCTGCAGCTTCACTCGCTTCTCATTGCGGTAGACTGTCTTCACCTTGAAGTCGATGCCCACAGTGCTGACGAAGGCTGGGGTGAAGGTGTCATCAGCATAGCGGAAGAGGAAGGAGGTTTTGCCAACGCTGCTGTTGCCGATGATGAGCAGTTTAAACATGTAGTCAAAATTCTGGTCGGAGGCATCTTTGACCCCGGCTTTACTATCGGTCACTGAAGCCATCTGCAGGAGAGACCCGTGGTCACTCAGGAACACATCTCTAGTGTCACCAACCTTTTAATGGTCACTCCGCCATTCACGTACTCATTCCCACCCCAGCATCACTGAGGAAACACACACTCCTCAGAATCACCCCACCACTGCACCTGTCCCAATGTTGTCTCAGGATGAGGTGGAACCCAGCTCCTCCCATTCATTCCTTCAGCAAATATTTACCGAGCACATTGCTTTGGGTCAAACCCTGTGCTGGGCATGGGGAATACAAATATGAATCAGACATGGTGTCTACCCTCTGAGTGGCCACAGATTAGAGTGAAAAAGCACATAAACTCATAGTAACAAAGTCTTGGCTAAGGAAGCCCACAGGAAGCATCTAACCGAACCTGGAGGAATGGTGGTCGAGGAGGGTCTCCTATGGGAGGCAGCTCCTGAGCTGAGTTGTGAGGTGGGGGTGGTGCGGAAAGGCAAAGCCAAAACAGCAAATACATGAACATTTCAGGAAAGACCCTGTACAAGGCTATCATTCCCATTTCAAGAACTTTTATGGCTCCCCACAGCTCTGAAGATCAAGCCCAATCTGTTCAACTCGACAAAGAACCAGAGAATAAACTCTCTAAACTTTATCTTCCCCTAAGTCTTCTCCCTACCAACCTGTGCAACCTTATACCAGATTACACACTTTACTCCAAACATGCAATATTTCTTGCTTTTGTCCCATTAGATATGTATTCTTTCTTTCTGCCTAGACATTCTTCTCCTAATCAACTCCTGCTCACCCTTGTAGATCCGATGAAGTCTCCCCTACCGGTGCATGGCAGGGGCATGCACTCCTGCCCTGTACTCCCAGAGCACTCTAACAGCACTTTCTACTATTTCAGAACTGTTCACTATTCTAGCTCCTCCTTTAGACCAAACATCTGAGACTTAAAGTACTTCGTTTCTGCCTCTCTAGCTTCTAGCACAAGTCCTAGTACATGATCAGCACTAAGGAAGTGTGCCCTGAATTAATAAGAGTCACATCCTCACTCTGGGGCCCAATCTCATCATCTGGAAAATGGGGAGAACAATTTCTGCCCTGCTCTCCTCACGGAGCTGTTACAGGACTCAAATAAGATAACAATGAGTAAGACCTTCATAAACTGGTAAACCCCACACAGGTGTGAACATAAGTCATTCTTATTCCAAATCCTTCAAAACATAGATCCTTTGTTTATTGATTGATTCATTCAGCAGTATTTATTACATGCCAGGGCTTCCCTGAAACCCCAGCCCTCTCAGACCTGCCACCCAACCTCCCTTTTTCTCGAACACTTGAATCTGAACTTTATAATCCAGCACTTGGTCCCACAGTCTTTGAATGTGTAATTGCTTTTTCTACATCTCACCAGCTGTAGGTACCCTGCTTCTCCCTATGTGATCTCTTTTTGTGTTCAGCGCTGGGTACTTAGACATGTTGGGTGAGTAGTCAGGGGACGGTAGGGAGACAGCCCTAATGTAAGGTCATGTTCAGGTGTCACTCCCTTTATGAATTCCTGCTAGGAGTGAGACCGGTGAATTTATCTCTATGAGCCTCTCCAGTGAGTTGTAAGGTTAAAGCTCTCCTGAAGAAAGGTCAGACAAATACGTGGGATAATTAATTAGAAGCCCTTTAAGAATACTTCGTTAAATATGCCACCACTAGCCTGTGGTGGCCTCTGTTCTTTCCTCTCGTTTCTCCCAGCTCTCAAGCCTTTATCTGAGACCCGCAGCCACATTTCCTGTATCAATCTGCTCCATGGCAAGGCTCACTAGGCAGGCATAGAACATTCCCTGGACCCCTGGCAACTGAGGCATAGCATTCGCATGGAAGAAGAAAGTGATATTGGAGGGAAGGGTGCTTAAACTGTCTCATAGCCCTAACTTTTCAGTTTTTCATGGTACAAGATGCAGAGCCTATTTTAAGAATTGGCAAAGGGATTATGCTTTTTCTAACTAAAACAAGGGAAGCAACCACAATGCCCTCACACTATCCTCTGCTCAGCTGCCGGCCATCTTTATTTACAAGAGAAAATTCCAATTTTGAAAGTGTAAAAATTTAGAAAAAAGCTTAAAAGTACAAAGAGAAATTTTTAAATGACCAGACATCCCCTCCATTCAGAAACTGCCATTGTTGTCCTAACCAGTTTGGCTCAGTGGATAGAGCGTCGGCCTGTGGACTGAAGGGTCCCAGGTTCGATTCTGGTCAAGGGCATGTACCTTGGTTGCGGGCACATCCCCAGTGGGGAGTGTGCAGGAGGCAGCTGCTCGATGTTTCTAACTCTCTATCCTTCTCCCTTCCTCTCTGTAAAAAATCAATAAAGTATATAAAGAAAAAGAAACTGCCATTGTTAACATGTTAAGTGTATTTCTTCCCTTCTCATGCAATAAAATGCCATCTATTTTAAATTATATCCTATTTGTTAATTTAAAAAGTAATACACACATTGAAAATAATTCAAATAAATGTTTACTATTTGTAAGCACTACTTTATCACCATCTGCAGTTTGCATTATTTTCTTAATTTTTAGCATAAAAGTAAGTAATATGGAACCTAAAGGTTTACAATGAAAAAACAAATAACAAAAAACTCCCACTTGGGGGCGGGAGGCAATGGGGGGGATAAGGACACATATGTAATACCTTAATCAATAAAGAAAAAAAATAAAAACTTAAAAAAACAAACTCCCACCCGTGATTCCCAATCTCTGGTCCCTCTTCTCAACAGCAAACATGTTACCAATTCATTAATCCTTCAGAGATAGTCTTTGTAAATATAAGCATAGAGGTCTGTTTATATTTTTATCTGTATATAATGATAACATACTATAAATTCTAGTCTATATTTTCTATGCACATTTTAACAGCTAAGATATTTTCACTAGTTTTGTACCCTGCTCCTTTTCACTTAACATATTTTACTAGACTTTTAAAACTCTTCATAAATATTATTTCAATTGACTGTTACATTATATTACATCTAAGGATGTGTCATATGACCAATTCTTTAATGTTATATATTTGTTATTTTTATATTCTTAATTATTATAAACTAGAGGCCCGGTGCATGAATTCATGCAAGGGTGGGGTCCCTTGGCTTGGCCAGCGATCGGGCCAATCGGGGCCGCAGGAGGTTGGCTGTGAGAGTGCACTGACCACCAGGGGGCAGCTCCTGCATTGAGCGTCTACCCCTTGATGGTCAGTGCATGTCATAGCAACTGGTCGTTCAGTTGTTTGGCTGCTTAGGCTTTTATATATAGATCAAAACACAGTGACCATTTCTTTACATAAATACTTGTTCAATTTCCTGTTTATTTCCTCAGAAGCGATCTTAGAAGTGGAACTGCTGGTCAAAGAGTAACTTTGCTAAAACATAGATATGATCCATACCTCAATTTTATGTCCTTTATTTTATCCTCTAAATAAACCTGGGAGATAAAATTGAAATGACAAAATTATTATTTCCATTTGATCAAGAAGGAAACTGAGAGCCAGATATTAGGAGGATTTGCCCACGCCTCATAGCTACCGGCTGAGACTAGACCTAGTACCATGCAGCAGTGTTATGGGAAAGTTCAAAATCCCAGGCCAACTCCTCAGCTGAATTTCTTGGGCAAGTCAAGTGGCCTCTCTAAGCCACAGTATTTTTACCTTAAAATAGAGAAAATACCACCTATTTCACAGACCTGTGGTGCAAATATGTAAATAATCTGGCATAATTTCCTGGCCCATGTGAGGTACTCAATAAATATTATTTCACTGGCCCCTTTAATTTACCTCTGCAGTCAAATCTTGTTCAACTACCCTCTCCCTGATCTGGGCTACATTATTTGAGCTTGTTTTACAGTTAACTATCTGCCTCCTCTCCTGGAACAAGCTGAGTTGTATCCATCCTTACACCTGCCAATACTGGATCTATAGTAAATCCTTAGGGCATATTATTCCTTTCAATAAACGTTTAGTGAGCATTTGCCATGTGCCAGACTATCAATGTAAATGTTATATTATTGGTCTTCATTTTTCTGACGCAGCTATTTACACTCTTAGATTCCTGGAATTAGGAGGGATTTTGGAGTGGCGGCTTTATCACAACAAAAAGCCTAGCTCCTGGTCCAGCTTTCCCAGTAACTCAGTGTAAATGTATGAACTTGGGGGTAAGTCACTTAAACTCTGAGCTTCAGTGTCCTCATCTATGATATGATGATATTACCTACCTTGCAAGGCTGCTGTGAATTTTAAACAAGAGAATGCATGTAAGTGTGTTTCACTGTGTAGATAAAACTGCATGTGGCCTCCCGTAGAATCAGCCTTTATGAGCTACGTCTGCCACAGGTGTGAGCGTGAGGAGCTAGGCAAGAGTAAAAAACAGTTTCAATTCCTGCCTGATCCACTGCCCTTCGTTTTACAGGTCAAAATTTGAGGCTCCACAAAGAGAAGTGATTTGTCCAAAGTCACATAGCAAGTCATGACCAGAACTTCTGTGATCTAATGACTCCCAGATTAGACTGGACTTAGAGGGAAAAAAAACTGCAACAATTTTAGAGGGAGTAAAGAAGCATCCCCGGCCCGGATGATGTTGCTCAGTGGTTGAGCATCAACCTAGGAACCAGGAGGTCACAGTTCAATTCTCGGTCAGGGCACATGCCCAGGTTGTGGGCTCCATCCTCTGTATGGGGTATGCAGGAGGCAGCCGATCAATGATTCTCTCTCATCACTGATGTTTCTATCTCTCTCTCTCCCTTTCCTTTCCTCTCTGAAATCAATAAAAATATATTAAAAAAAAAAAAAGCATCCCCAGCGCCCTGAGCATCTCTATCCTAGCACTTGCCACACTGTTTATGTGCACACAGCGTAGCTTTCCCAGTAGGTAGTGTGAGATCAGGAAGAGGCAGAGGGCAGAGAGGTTCAGTTGGAAGGCACGTTCAGATGTAAGCCCCCAAGGGGATCTTTTCAAGATGGGGCTACCCAGACACTTGGAAGAGAGGTAAAAAGCATCCTAGTGAGCAGCTGCCCAAGGCAGATTGAAGCAGAGAGGTCACTGCACACGGCGCATGCAGAACCACACTTGTGAGATAAGGATCAAACATATCTTCCCTCTCTTTTGTGACAGTTACATAAATGATAGAGCCTGGTAGCTCACTGTCTCCGTGACAAGCCATATAGATGAAGGCCCAGGGACCATCTGGGAAGTCATCCCTGGTTCCTGGCTAGGCAACAAAGAAAACGGCTCCTCTAAGAGTTGGTGTGAGAAACAAATAGAGTGTTCAGTCTGATAGGCAGCAGAAATAAGCACCTAAGAAGCCAACTTCAGCCAATAAAGGGGGAGGGGAGAGGAGAGGAAAGAGGGCCCTAAAATCCAGCAAGAGGAGATCAATTCAATAGATGCAGTGAATAGATGAACTCTCCTGATGGAAAAGGCATATGATTGAGTCAGGAGACCTGGGGTGAGCCTTTGCTCTCTCCACAGTTGTGTAACCTCAGGCAGATCACACCCTGGGCCTCAGTTTCCTCACCTATAAAATGAGTTAATAAAATGACTCCCTGGCAAACTGTTGTAAGAATTAAAACCAGTCTACGGGAGAGTGCTTTATAAAAACCCTTCATCTTTTTTTTTTCTTTTTTGTCTGTGTGCTTCATGTTTTCTTATCTCAGGTCATCCTGGGTAGTGGAAATAGCCTGGGGTTCCAAACCAAACAAACCAGATTGGGTTTCTGTGTCTATCATTTATTATCTGTGAGATCTTGGCAAGAAATTTCACATGACTAAGCCAGTTTCCTCATTTGTAAAAGCATTATTGGGAAGACCGTAGTCAATGTCGGAAAAGCATGTAGGTAGTATATGACCTATAAGAGGTGCTCCTATTGGGAACTTTTATCAATGAGGAATAAAGAGGGAGTTGGGCATATGTGGACCTCACCCTAGTAGATGCAACCTCCTCCCGAAAGCCATACTCTACTAATTTTTCTAATTCAACCTTTCTTTAGGTCATTCCCCACTGACAACTCATCACCACCACCCAGCATACCTCCTCATTGTTTCCCCACAGAAGCAGCTGCCATTTTTTGAGCACCTACTAAATGCCAGTGTTTTCAATGCATTCTATCTTGCATAAATAGAAGCTTGGAAAATGTTCACTTCCTTCTTTCTCCAGGATGGAGACAGCCATGGGTGTGGTCACTGACAGAATGTAGGCACACTTGTATAATAACATAGTGGTCTTTCTCTTTTGTACAGTGCTTTATAGATTATGAAAGTTCTTTTCCCCCACATTATCATATATAATCTTCACAACAATTTTTGGGGGGTAGATAAGGAAATTGAGGCAGTGGTACAACCACAGCTCAATTATTCATTCAATCAACATTCACTGAGCACGTACTGTGAGCCAGGCCCTGTGCTGCACTCTGGGGAGATGAAGAGGAACCGTAAGGAGTTCAAGCTGAGATGGGAAACCTTTTTAAACATCCTATAGGTTACTGATGCCTCCTTTCATATCATAACCCTTAAGAAAATGAAGATTTATTTCTTGGGCTAGAGATCATTTTTGAATTTAGCCTCTGATAGGAACATACTTTATTCTACTACAGGCTAAATCCTTCATGACGAGAAAGTCATCCCTGACCCATCATCCTCTAACAAAATGTCTCTCCTCCGGCTAACACAGCACCAGGGCTTCTATTACCACAGACAGGGCTTTTCAGGGACTTCCATTGTTTTCTACCCTTTATAGGCACAGAACAGGTGGGCATCCACCTGTACACACACACACACACAGACACACACACACACACACACACACACACACACACCTAATTTCATTCACTATCCCCCACCCTTTTCCATCTGGATTCTGAGAAATTGGGATGGAGGGCCCTGTCTTCCTCCCATCTCCCTCCACATTTCTAGTAGCTTCCAGAGGCTGCTGCCCTGCTCCCCTTCAAGTCTCTTCTCACACCTGGACTCCAAAATAGTCAGCCTGTGGATGAATTTTCCTGTCCATGGTTCTCTTCGTCTTGTCGCTGATCACAGGTGGCCGTGTCATGGGGTCCAGTGTCTGGGTCCCCTTGGCAGCCTTCTGAGGAGCTAAGACACTGCTAGAGCCTGGGTTCCCATGGACTCCACTCTGGTCCCCCATCATCTTCCCACTCTCATACCTCCTCCCCAGCCTGACCCAGCGCACCCACCACCCGAAACTCTCCAAGTTCCCTGACAGCTCCTGCACTC